AAACCCCATCTCTCCCAAAAATACAAAATTAGCCAGGTGTGGTGGTGCATGCCTGTAGTCCCAGCTACTCAGGAAGCTGAGGAAACAGAATTGCTTGAACCCGGGAAGCAGAGGTTACGGTGAGTCAAGATCATGCCATTGCACTCCAGCCTGGGCAACAAGAGTGAAACTGTATCTAAAACAAAAAAAACAAAAACAAAACCGCTCTGCGGATCCTAGTGAGAAGGCAGTAAGTGTTTCAGAGTCCAATACATTTTGAAAGGTTTCCATCATGACAGTTAAAACGAAAAGCCATCACATGATGCATTAACCCTGGGGTGGTCACAAAACTGATGCTCTTGGTCGAGCGCAGTGGCTCACGCCTATAATCCCAATACTATGGGAGGACCAGGTAGGTGGGTCACCTGAGGTCGAGAGTTCAAGACCAGCCTGACTAACATATAAAAATCCCATCTCTATTAAAAACACACAAAATGTGCTGGGCGTGATGGCACATGCCTGTAATCCCAGCTACTCAGAAGACTGAGGCAGGAGAATTGCATGAACCTGGAAGGCGGAGGTTGCGGTGAGCAGAGATCTTGCCACTGCACTCCAGCCTGGGCAACAGGAGGGAAATTTCATTTCAAAAAAAAAATTAGCTGGGCGTGGTGGTGCATGCCTGTAATCCCGGCTACTTGGGAGGCTGAGCAGGAGAATTGCTTGAACTAGGGAGCCGGAGGTTGCAGTTAGCTGAGATCACTCCACTGCACTCTAGTATGGCAACAGAGCAAGACTCCATGTCAAAAAAAAAAAACAACAAAACCCTGGTGCTCTTGAACAGCTACAGGCAGGCTGTGCAATGCCCCACCCTCATCTACCACCCTTCCCCCACTTCTGAGAAGCAGACAGCAGACTGAATCACCCTACGTGCAAATTCAACCACTGGCGGAGCCGCATCACAGAAAGGGCTCACAACTCAAAAGAATACCTCTGACCCACTCCTCTGCCCAGTCACAAGATGTTTCTCTTTCAAGGTGGTTAGTCTAGCAGCAAGCGCTCATACAAAGAAAAACTTGTACACTTCACCTTCCTTAGATTCCATAAAATCCTATTCTTTAGGATTCACAGTGTCCAGTAAAAGATGATTATTTCAAGCCTAATACTTTTCACATAAATACATAAATTAGAAAAAGAAAATAAAAGATGATTATTTCAAGCCTAATACTTTTCACATAAATACATAAATTAGAAAAAGAAAAGTCAGTCAACAGGCCTCTGGTTTGGAAAACCACAGCTGTACCTGGATGGCACCAGTGCGCAGAGGCCGGATCAGGGGAAGGGGAAAGGGAGGCAGAGGCCCACACTAACCTCTCAGGACTCACGTCCCTCCTACAGGGTTGCCCTCGCTCCTCTAACCCACCCCATGTTCTGGATGCCTGGTAGTGACATGAAAGTCCTGGTTTAACAGCTTTTTCTTGGAGTAACAGCTGCACAGTTTTCCTATAGCTGAGAAAACACTTTTTCTCACAGTTAACTTTAGGCTTCATCATCCCTCAAACTTCAGGAAGCCTTATTTCCAGCTCTCCCCTCTTCACCCTTGAAATTCATCTTCTTCTTCCACTTCCAGCTTGAAATGGAAGGACTGAATAAGTGTGTGCCTTTCCCCCAGTAGCCACTATTCATTGCCTTTTCAAGTAAGCACTGCCAGACGCCCAGTGGGTTTTATCAGCACCCCTATCCACTTCTGAAGCAGGTCCTCATTCCAAAGCAAGCTGGCACAAAGCCCCAGACAGCCTTTGTGAGGATGCCTGCATTCAAGTACCAGCTGCCTTGATGGCACCAACGGGCAGAAAACTGCCATGCAATTACCCCCTCACCCCTACCTTGAGAAACTCCTGTTAATGCTCTTAAAATACATTTGCAAAAGGAACCAGGGCCAAATGAAGGCACTTCTAAATCATACTTATTTCTTCTGTCATCAACAGAAATTAAAATAATCTTACATCACCACCCCCCAACTTTTACCTTTTTTTTAATTCAGGATATTGGCTACACAAGCAAGTGTGGGAATATAGAGACAGAAGCAAGTCACAGGCCAGGTGCGGGGCCTCAAGTCTGTAATCCCAGCACTTTGGGAGGTCAAAGAGGGCAGATCACCTGAGGTGAGGAGTTGAGACCAGCCTGGCCAACATGGCAAAACCCTGTCTCTACTAAAACTACAAAAAATTAGCTGGGCGTGGTGGCATATGCCTGTGATCTCAGCTACTAGGGAGGCTGAGGCAAGAGAACTGCCTGAACTCGGGAGGCAGAGGTTCCACTGGGCCCAGCTGGTGCCACTACACTCCAGCCTGGGCGATAGAGGGAGACTCCATCTCAAAAAAAAAAAAAAAAAAATGAGAGAGAAACAAGTCACTTGCTCATGTTGGCAGCAGTGTTCCCTCTCCTTTTCAAAATTACAAGGCAGGTGTCTTCTAACAGCCTTCTAGATTGTGAAGACCAGCACCCCAGCATCAAAATCAAACACAATGGACCTCAAAGCCAGGCTGACTGTTATTGGGCTGCAAAGTAAACAGACCAAAGGGGAAGGCTGTTCAGGAAACAAATCTTAATTACTGTTATTTGTTCAGGCAAACCTAGCATTTATTTCTCTAGTCAGCTGGGTGGAGTAGATGTTGGACTGGGCAAAGAGGGCTCCTTTGAAGATTCAGGATCTTTCTCACCCCTCCTTCCTTCCCGGGCAAGGAAATCCAAGGCCTTAACACTCAGGGAGCCCCAAGTGGGAAGCCAGTTTGGGGCCAGGACATGGCTGCTGATGGCGCCTCTGAGGTGGGAGTCACTGCCCTCCAGAGAGAGAAAGGAATCTGAGGGCTCCCAGATAGGAAACTGAGGGATGAAGTGAGGGGTGCGGGGGGGAGCAATTAAGTAGTAACTGGAAAGAAAGGACTCTGATGCAGTGGCGGAGTGGTGGCGGTAGGAGGGGTGCCCTGGGGAGATGGAGGAGCCTGCCGGAATGACAGGAGCAGAGTGGATGTGTGCATGAGACAGCAGGGAAGAAATGGGGTCCTGAGCAGCATGGATGAGAGAAAAGAGCCAGGAAGTGGAGGAAGACCCCCAAAGAGGTCAGCCCCAAGCAGAGCAAAAGCAGAGACTGCCTTACTGCAAGAGCAGAGAGCCCTAGGCCATGCTAGAGGACCTTGGCTCAATGGCACTCCAAAGGAGGCTCACCAACAGCTGCATGGGCATCACGGGGAGTCTCAGGCTCCAGCCCAGACCTGCTGAAGAAGAACTGGAGCCTGCAAGGTTTAAAAAAAAAATTCCCCAGGGGATCATCTGATATCAGCCTGCAGCAGGCATAGGTCTGTATTCAAACTGCACCTTTAACAATCCCATGTTCAAGTGATGATGTCTGCCACACACCAACAGCCAGCTGCCCTAGCTCTTCATTCAGAAGGGGCCTTTGGTAATGGCAAATAACAAAAGCAAGTTTCCAGCGAGACCACACATGACTCCAATATAACAGATAAGGGAATCATGAGAGTCTCTGAAAAAGTTATCTGTAATTCAACATGGAAAAAAATGCTAATGGACACATCCTTGGGAAAGATGAATACACGAGAATATTAACCAAGATTATGGGATGTTAGATGGCCTTTGTTTTCTTTATTCTGTGTTTTCAAGGTTTAACATTAAGCATGAATTTCATCAGTCTTTTAAATGAACAGAAAATGGAAATATTTTAATAGGTAAAGAATCAAAGAGTAGAAAAAAGTAAAAAGCTCATTTAATTTGCCACCCACCATAAAGGATATGTTTTGTTGTCTGTAAAATGCATTCCATTGGTCTACATTAAAAAGCAAGACAACTTTGGCAAAAAAAAAAAAAATTAATGAACATCAAAAGAAAATAAATACTATATAAAATGAGTTTCAAGGATAGTTTTCCTGGCTGGATATGGTGGGTCACACCTATAATCCTGGCACTTAGGGAGGCCAAGGTAGGAGGACCTCTTGAGCCCAGGAGTTCAAGACCACCCTGGGTAACATAGGGAGACATCAGCTCTACAAAAAAGTTTTTTTAAACTAGCTAGGCATAGTGGTGCCATCTGCAGTCCCAGCTACTTGAGAGGCTGAGGCAAGGACAATCACTTAAATCTAGGAGGTGGAGACTGAAGTGAGGTATGATCACACCACTGCACTCCGGCCTGGGTGACAAAGTGAGACTGTCTCAAATAATAATAATAATAATAATAATAATAATAATGGCTTTAACAAAAATGGTCCCAAGCTCACTCTCTGGGGTAAGCCCTTTCCAGACACTGAGGAACAAACATAGAGGGCATACAGGAACATCTGCTGCACTGTGCACCCTGAAGAACAATCACCCCCACTTTGCAACTGTGGATGGGCCACTGTTTCAAGGTAATTTCTCAGTGGCAGGACAAAACTTTGCTGAATCTTTATCTCCAGTTATTGCCTCACAACATCACGGACAAGTTAGGTGTCTACAAGGACACTTGAGAATTTGTGATACAGTGGTTTCTGAAACAGAGACTTACTCCCTAAGAACAAAACTGGACCACATGGGGACCAACTCCAAAATTGCGGCCTCACCACATCCAACCCAGAAGTTTTGGGGTGTGTACATGTGTGTGTGTGTATGACGAAGTTTCACTTTTGTCGCCTAGGCTGGAGTGCAATGGAGTGATCTCAGCGCACTGCAGCCTCTACCTCCTGAGTTCAAGTGATTCTCCTGCCTCAGCCTCCTGAGTAGCTGAGATTACAGGGGTGTGCCACCACATCCCGCTAACTTTTGTATTTTTAGTAGAGATGGGGTTTCACCATGTTGCCCAGGCTGGTCTTGAACTCCTGACCTCAGGTGATCCATCTGCTTCAGCCTCCCAAAGTGCTGGGATTACAGGTGTGAGCCACCGCACCCGACCCAAGCACAACTTTTTGAGTACCTGTATGTGCAATATATACTTCACTAGGTTCTATATATATATTACTGAATTTGTTTATCACAGCCCTATGTTGTTATCATCCATCTCTATTACAATGAGAAAATGGATCAAACACAGACACATCTAGTAAATAGAACTGGAATTTCCGTCTTAGCCAGGTGCCTCCTAAGTCTTTACTCTTCATCTCCAAAGCCCTGACACACACGTTAATATGCCTTTAGGAGCATATTCACTTCACTGACAAACCCTCTATCACTACTAATAACCTCAAAAACAGTAACAGTTATTATTGCCTAGGCCGGCACCTTCCCTGTCTCTCACACCATCCTTGGCTACCCTCTCCCTGTTCCTCAGATTCTCCTCCTAGCCCCCTTCATGCTTACTCATACCCGGCCCTACAAATGTCAGTAGCAGACTATTTGTTGATACTATGCGCCTCCTCACACATTATGAAAATCAAACCACCCCCCACTACACAGTTACCCCAACAATCTCCCTTTCAACCTCTAACGGCTGCTGTCCTTGCTGGATCTTTAGGAGTTTGGGTATCTGACTCCCCTTTCAAGGATTCCTCCCACCTTTTCACCCTACATTTTCAATTCTGCCTTGCCCCAGGCCTCTTCTTATGTGGCTCTTCCACCTATATGTGTCTGCCTACTAAATGGACAGGCACCTGTGCCTTAGTCTTCCTTATTCCTAGAATCCAATTCGCCAATGGTAATGAACCATGCCTGTCCCCCTAATGACACCTACTCGGCAAAGAGACATCCAGCTAATTCCATTTCTTATAAGAATAGGGCTTACAGCCTCCACTGTGGGCCTTGGAACTGGCATAGTGGCAGTCACTACCTCTGTCACAACATTCTGCAGTCTGTCTACTGATTTCTCTGCTAGTATTACAGACATTATAATACCTTGTCCGTCCTGCAAGCTCAAATCAACTCTTTAGCTGTAGCTGTCCTTCAAAACCATCATGGACTTGACTCAATGCAGATAAGAGAGGACTCTGTATATTTCTAAATAAGGAATGCTGCTTTTACTTAAATCAGTCCGGCCTAGTTTATGATAGTATCAGAAGGCTCAAAGACAAGGCCCCAAAATTTACTCATCAGGCAAATGACTATGCCAAACCCGCCTGGCCATTTTCTAGCTGGATGTCCTGGCTCTTTCCAATCCTTACCCCCTTAATACCAGTCTTCCTTCTTTTCTCATTCAGACCTTTTATTTTCCGATTCGTCTCTTGAGTCCAACAAAATCACAGCCAGGCCATCACTAATCACTCTATACGGCAAATGCTACTTTTAACAACCCCACAACATCACCCACTATCCCAGGATCTGTCGGCTGCTTAAAACAAGATGCCCTGCCAAGCCTCCCCATTCATTTGCCTGTCTTATCCCCAGCCCTATTTCATAGCCTTCACCCTTCTGGGATCAACTAGGAACACCAATCCATCACTCATGAATTCCAGGCAATGCTCTGCTAATGTGAAGATGCAGTGTGACACCTCTCTTATCCTTTTTCAATCCAAGTCTTCTGGGACTACTCCTACACTGGACACTATCCCAACCTTGGCCCAAGGCTTCCCCTAAACTACAAGAATCACAGACTTTTCTTTTAGGTGTCTGTACAGCCCCATCACGCTCAAAGAAGCCATGAGAAACATTGCCCCTACTCCCTTCTCCTCTAACTTTGTTCTTCATACATATATAAGAAGATGGGAATGTCAGGCCTCCACGTCCAAGCCTGGCCATTATAGCCTTGGTGACCTGCACGTACACCTCTGGATGGTCCCCACGAGCCAGAAAGTCTGAAGTAACCACAAGTAACCACAGAAAGAAGAGAAACAACGCGTTCCTGCCTCAACTAATTGCTCTCCCCTGCAACTTGCAACCATTGTTCCTGCTCAGCCTTGCAAAAATTTCCCTCTGGACGTTGCGTTTCTCAAGACCCCCACCCTTGTGACTACGTAATTTACTGCGCCCTCCCCTCTGCTTGCAACCAACAACCCCCCCTTATGATCATGCCTGTTTGTAATAAATAACCCATACTCTTGTGATCATGCATCCCCACCCTTATAATCATGCCTGTTTGTAATAAATGACCCCTACCCTCGTGATCATGCATCCCATGACACCCTTCCACGCCCCAGGATAGAGTACCACCTTTTACTGACCATTTGCCCCAAGCTATATAACCAGTCCCCTTTCCTATCCCCTTTGCCTAACTCCCTTCTCAGACTTGGCCTGCTTGCACCCAAGCACGAAATCAAACAGCCTTGTTGCCCACACAAAGCCTGCCTGGTGGTCTCTCTACGTGAGCGACACGCCTGACATTTGTATTTCTTTGCAATACGTTACAATGTTTAATTATTGGTGTAACACTTTGATCACACCTTCACAACCTTCCTCTCATTCTATCTGTATAACCACTCCACAAGGCAGGCAGGGAGAGTAGCGTCATTCCCAACATACAGACAAATGTGAAGCCTGGATAAGTTACCTTATTCTTGGAACTCATTCTCCTTCTTTCTAACACAGCACCCTGCTGATGAGCGCAATGAGCAGCAAAGCCTTGATGGTGCTGACAGAGGAGACCAGCAACACCCGAAAAGACAAAGACAGCAGCGTTGCTACTTCCACACTGCCTTGGGAAGAACCAGGTTATCCCATGCCCCTGTATAATAGGCACTCACACATGCACACGTGTGTGTGTGTACCCAAGGGCAGAGAACAAAGCCCTAAAGACAGAACAAAGCCCCAGAGTCCCAGTTCTACTTCAAAGTGTCAAACTTTGCAGCAAGTTCAACAATTTAAGAAGGCAGAGAAGCATATCCTGTACTTCCATCAAAACACCAAAATTAAAGATGGGAGTGTCTTCGGTAATCAAAGAGATCCCTCTACCTAGCACTCAATGAAAGTAATAGTCACCTACCATTTCTTAAGTACTTCCTATGTATCAAGGCACTACTCTAAGGTACTTTGAAGACCTTTCATTTAATCGCCTCCAAAGGAAAAAGAAAACAACCACCCCCTGCCACCTCTTTTTTTCTTTGAGACAGAGTCTAGCTCTGCCACCCAGACCAACCTCAGCTCACTGCAACCTCTGCCTCCCGGGATCAAGCAATTCTCATGCCTCAGACTCCCAAGTAGCTGGTACTACATATAGGTGCACATCATGACGCCTGGCTAATTTTTTGTATTTTTAATAGAGATGGGGTTTTGCCATGTTGGCCAGGCTGGTCTCGAACTCCTGGCCTCAAATGATCTGCCGCCTTGGCCTCCCAAAGGACTGGGATTACAGGCATAAGCCACTGTACCCGTCCAAAAATAGCCCTTTGATGGAAGTATCACAATCTCCATTTGACAGATGAGGAAACCTGAGTCTTAGAGGTTAAACGACTTTCCAAAAGCTGCTTTGGGATAAACCAAAATCCAGGTCTCTGATTCTAAAGCCCAACAGGACTCTAAAACCAGTTTTCCTTCACCAGATCTCAGGATATCTGGAGTATACTGTTTTGACCCCTCTTCCACCTACTCCCCTACAGCAACGTAAAATCACCAGAGACCCTAAAGCAGGTGCATGCACCTACGGCTTGAGGCAGTTAGAAGAGCCCACTGGACGCTGCACCTCCCTCGACTGCCCCTCCTGAGGGCTAGTCCTGACCCTGAGATGTGCCATTCCCAACGCTTTTGGTGAGAACACAGCACAGCCTTGGGCATCCCATCACTATTCTGAAAGCCATTCTTCATTATTCCTGTAATCTGTGGCAGTGATACTAACAGTAATTTTTTAAAATAGGAAATTGCATCGGGCATTTCAGTGCGAGGTAGGGTCCTCAATCCTTAGAATGGATTTATTTCATCCTCACAATAATCCCATGAAGTAAATGCTCATATTGCCATTTTTCACAAATAAGAAAGCATTATTATTTAAATTGTTGGCATAATATGCCTTTTTTTTTTTTTTTTTTTTGTGAGATGGGAGTCTGGCTCTGTCACCCAGGCTGGAGTGCAGTGACGCCCTCTCGGCTCACTGCAACATCCACCTCCCAGGTTCAAACAATTCTCTTGTCTCAGCCTCCTGAGTAGCTGGGGTTACAGGTGTCCACCACCATGCCCAGCTAATTTTTGATTTTTAGTAGGGATGCGGTTTCACCACATTGGCCAGACTGGTCTCGAACTCCTGACCTCAGGTGATCCTCTTGCCTTGGCCTCCCAAAGTGCTAAGATTACAGGCGTAAACCACCGTGCCTGGCCTATATCCTACTTTTATAATCGGAAAAAATGTTATAAGCTATACTGACTGAAAAATGAGGAAAAGACAAAATAAGTAGAGAAAATATAAAAGAAGAGAGCAAAAGGAAAAAAGAACTCCATTTTTTTCACAAATGACAAAACTGAGATCTCTCCTAAGGTCTAGATATGAACTCAGTGAGCCAGGCCCTAAACTCTTTGCCATGCAGCTACGGTGCCATCTCTAAAGTGGGGCAGTCTCTAGAGCAGCACAGCATACCTCATAATAAACTGTGTTTACAGCTGGGAGGAGTGGTTCACGCCTGTAATCCCAGCACTTTGGGAGGCTGAGGCAGATGGATCCCTTTGGGAGGCTAAGGCCAGTTGTTTGAGACCAGCCTAGGCAATGTGGCGAAACTGTCTCTACTAAAAATAATAAAAAAAAAAAAAAAAAATAGCATGTATAGATGTTTATTTTTAAATTGACTATCAAATGTTTGTAGTCAATCATCTGAAAGTTTAAAATACAAAAACTAGCCAGGGTGGTGGTAAACACCTGTGATTCCAGCTACTCAGGAGACTGAGGCATGAGAATCGCTTGAACCCAGGAAGCAGAGGTTGCAGTGAGTTGAGATTTCGCCACTGCACTCCAGCCCGGATAACAGAGTGAGACTCTGACTCAAAAAAAATGAAAAAGAAAGAAAAAAAACCTGTTTACAGAGTAAGAAGGTTTAATAGTTTCTAGAAATTATTTTGGACTTTAGTTAAAAGTACAATTGCCCGGGCATGGTGGTTCACATCTGTAATCCCAGCACTTTGAGAGGCCAAGGTGGGTAAATCACTTGAACCCAACAGTTTGAGACCAGCATGGGCAACATGGCAAAACCCCATCTCTATAAATAATATGAAAAAAAAAATTAGCCAGGTATGGTGGCATGCACCTGTAGTCTCAGCTACCCAGGAGACTGAGATGAGAGGATCACCTGAGCCTGTGGGGTCAAGGCTACAGCGAGCTGTGATCTCCACACTGCACTCCAGCTTGGGAAACAGAGTGAAAATCTTTCAAAAAAAAAAAAAATCTGACATGGTGGCTCACGCTTGTAATCCCAGCACTTTGGAAGGCCGAGGCGGGTGGATCATGAAGTCAGGAGTTCGACAGCAACTTGATCAACATGGTAAAACCCCATCTCTATTAAAAATACAAAAATTAGCTCAGTGTGGTGGTGTGCGCCTGTAATCCCAGCTACTCAGGAGGCTGAGGCAGGAGAATCGCTTGAACCCAGGAGACAGAGGTTGCAGTGAGACAAGATTGTGCCACTGTACTGCAGCCTGGGTATCAGAGTGAGACTCCATCAGAAAAGGAAGAAAAGAAAAGAACGAGGCCGGGCGCGGTGGCTCAAGCCTGTAATCCCAGCAACTTTGGGAGGCCGAGGCGGGTGGATCACGAGGTCAAGAGATCGAGAC